CCAGTGCTGAAAAGTAAAAACAAAACAAAAACAAACACACACACACACACAAGTTAGAGCAGACATAAGACAGAATTTATAGTGGTTCCAGGGCCAGCACTGTGGGGTAGCAGGTAAAGCCGCGGCCTCCAGGTCTGGCATCCCATACTGGTGCTGGTTCGAGTCCCTGGCTGCTCCACTTCTGATCCAGCTCTGTGCTCATGTGCCTAGGAGAGCAGCAGAGGATGGCCCAGGTCCTTGGGCCCCTGCAGCCACCTAGGAGACTCAGTTGAAACACCTGGTCCAGTCCTGGCTATAGAGCCATTTGGGGAGTGAACCGGCAGATGGAAAATCAATCAATCAATCTTTCTCTCTCTCTCTCTCTGCTTCTGCTACTCCATACCTCTTACAAATCAAGTAAATAAATCCTCAGAAAGAGAATCTATAGAGGCTCCAAAGCCAGATGTGTCAAGCGAGTGTACACAGGCTGAAGTGCTGAGAACACAGCTTCCTGAGAAACCTGGCTGAGTCACTGCACACGGTTTGGAACCTGCGCTGAGTCACTGCATATGCTTGGAGTCAGATGCACCGCAGAACCCCCCGTACCCACGGGTGCTCCCTGCCAGGACGTGGCTCCCACACAAACTCACCCTCTGGAGTTGGACAAACAGCTGAGCAAGACAAACAGCAGAGGAGGCCCGTGTATGACAGCTTTGCCTGTCATCCCAACCCATGATTCACATTAGCATTATCCCGATGTACGCCATGCAATTTTCAAGCGGTCAGTACATTAAAACAAACAGAAACACTCAGGCCCATGAAATCGCAGAGTGGTGTGTTTGTCTAATGGCACGCAGTGCATCACAACCACAATCAGATCTGCAAACCTGCACAGGGAGTCAGCCAGCCTGGGATCCCTGCAGCCTGCAGGCTGGAGCCAACGCCCTCCTTGTGCAAGCACACCTTGGAAAGACGGGGGTTGGGTCCAGATCACTGAATAAAGTGAGTACTACAGTAGAGATAGCTGTATGAGCATTCCTGCTTCCCAGTGCACATCAAAGTTATGTTCACACTATGCTGTAACCCATTAAGTATGCAACATCCTTGTATCTGAAAACATGTGCATACCTTAATTAAAAGCTACTGTATTGCTAAAATACATTAACCATCGACTGAATTACTGGAAAAAATGGTATCAGGAAACTTGCTTGTTGTGGGGTTGCCACAAATGTTCAATTTGTAATAAAATGTAGTATCTAGGGATTCAGTAAAGTTGAAATGGAATAAAACAAATGTGCCTGTAGAGCAGGGGTGGGGACAGCAGCCCGGTCCCCACGAGCTCACTGAAGATGGATTTTTGCTGCACTGTTTAGAAAACAACAGATGCCG